CAAGAATTCAGTGCGGCCGGCAACGTCCTAACCGATTTTAGACGTTGCTGTCCCGAAACCGCCCGTTCACCAATGGTGCGGGTACCCGCATCGTTACCCGATCCATAACATTATTAATAAATTATAACTCTTTATATATAAGAATAATAAGTATATATACTAAATTGTGTACATTAAATCGTATATAAAGAATATCATACTAAGTATATCATACAAGTATATAAAGAATATTACATCAGAGGCTCACTTTAAAAACCCTAACATCCCTAACTCAGAGTTTATCATGGAATACGGATTTACAGTTCAGGGCTCTGCTTCTTAACGGTGAGAACAACTCTCTTCGATTCTTCTAGATGGAGCGATGTTGGGCCTGCAGTTCGGCTCTACCACCAGTGTCTTATAATCTCTCTTACTATCAAGGATTCTACATAGTTCCTTCTTTCTTCTATTTTCGGAATCACTCCTCTCAAAGGTAAGTTCTCTTGTGGTTAATACAGAGTGTGTATATTACAGTTTGGTGAGTTTGCTCGATGTCGAATTTTGCAATTTTTTACATCATTAAGATTTAGCAAAGTTGGATATGGAGTGAGTACGAATGTACGATGTATACGAAATGCGATGTAAATTGAAAAAGAAATTGGGGCTTTGAGTATACGGAGTGTAATTTACTGTGAAGGATGTTTACATTAGGAATTTAGGATTAGAAATTAGTTATTTAAGAGCATTTGGGGAAACGGTTACCCGTGGATAAACCGATTCCCCGTTGGGGCGGGTACGGTTCAAATAAAATTACCCGAACGGGTAATGGGGCAGTTTCGGGGCAAACATTTATCCAACGGGGCAGTTTCGGTTTTATGTGTACCTGTCCTCGATCCGTCCCGTTGCCATCCCTACCTTCCATATACAAGATATGAAGCTTCTGTAATATTATTAGTCTAGAAGAATATGGACGGAAAAATAGACCAGAGTAAGGATGTCTTTACTTGGACAGTTGGACTATTTTCAATTCCATACCACATTTAATCAGATCAAACTACACCAGACTTAAACATATCAGAATTTCATAGTTGTAAAATACACAAAGACCAGACATTTATAGACCAAACCAATTCGGATTAGGAGTGGACCCGGTAGGCAGTCCAGATTGGACCAGAATTGGGCCTGCCAATGAATGTGCAGGGGGACTGAATCGGGTCTGGTTTTCGGGTCCCGAACTTCGACCGGGTACCCAACCGGGTTGTGCGGGTCTCGGGCTCAGGTAAGGGATTTGGGGATCGGATCAGGCGGGTTCGATCCGGTCTCGATTCCAATCCCAACAGTAATTTTTTTATTCAAGGGGTGGGACTACGGGTAGACTGGGTGGCGTCCAGGCAGGCCTTCAGGTAGGGACAAGGCAGGCTCCAGGTCCAAAAATACAAGTCTCGGTACCGGCCCGGGTAGGTACTAGGTACCGGATTGGGTCGGGCTACCCGGTCAGGCTTCGGGTCGGGCTAGGAGCCTTCCCAATGAATTCAAACCCAATTTTCGTTTAAATAAAATTGTGTGTTGGCCTCAGACCGGCCACGGCCCGGCCTGGACGGTCCACTAAGTATTGACCCCGTAGTCCACTGTTTCTTTACTCGGGTCAGGCCTCGGGCTTGGTCCCGCTCCCGATCAACTGGGTCGGACTTGCATAGTGTCGGGTCAGACCGTCCCAGTTCACCCCTAAGTGGGGCTGGGTGGGGAACTAGTCATTTCAAATGAATAGTTCATGTACGTAAATTTTAACTTCAAACTATTCTCAATTGTATTTTATAAGTGTGTTAATAATACTAAGTCATTGTAGTGTTTCTAATAAATATACATTTTTTAATGTGTGAATTCATTTTGAAAAAATAAAACCGCGTTCGAATCGGCCAGGTAGAGCAGACCAGAACCGGGTACCCTACTACTTTGGATTGATTCCGGTCTCAGGATTCGGGAACTCGGACCGGCCGGTCCGGGACCAGATCGAGTTCATCCATTGTTCAGACCAGATCAGACTTAAACAAATCAGATCACTCTAGCAAATTTCAATTCAAATAAAAACATCCTATGATTCACGCGACCCAAACCCATTCACCCATTAACATGCCATTATTACCCCCAAAAGAAATTCATTTTCTTTTCTCACATGAAGGGAGAGGTTAAACAAAACAATTATACACTTGCATTGAACGACATACACTAAAAGAAGTAGATGACGATAGGGTAATGTTAAAATATTGGGAAAACTGTCAAATAGGTCCTCGAACTTTCATAAAAAAATCAATTAAGTCCTTCTATAGGAGACTTTGTCCGGTCATCGCGATTTGGGGCGGTTCCCAGTGGAATTTTTTGATGATTTTTTTTGAGAATCTTATTCATCAAGTCTAGTTTACTCATACCAAATTTCAGCTAAAACTTTAATCGGGAGCGCATTCAAATTAATTCGAGAACGCAAAAATGCGCAGTTATCTTCAAGAATTAATTTGAATGTGTTCCCGATTGAATTTTTAGCTAAAATTTGGTATGAGTAAACAAGACTTGGTTAGTAAGATGCTCAAAACATTTCATCAAAAAATTCCACCGGGAACTGCCCCAAATCGCGACGGCCGGACAGAACCTTCTATAGAAGGACTTAATTGACCTTTTTATGAAAGTTCGAGGACTTATTTGATAGTTTTCCCTAAAATATTTGCCCCATACCGAAAAACTATAAAATAATGAAACAATATATAAGACTTTGAGCTACTCCTTCTATCAGGTTGACATTTTAGTATGAAATCCAGATCTGAATATGCTATGAGAGCCAAATCGATCCATGGTGTGGGCGCCTTATGAAAAATGATGACACTATTATACAAAAATGACAACAACGAATCGATGAAGAAAATGAATGGCACAATCCGGATAGTGTCTAGTCGTGAGGTCGGGTGTTGAATTCCCACACCAGAAACGTGTGAAAGAATCAAGTGTTATATAATTACAACTCCTATCAGGTTGACCTTTTAGGATGAAACCCCAAATCTTAACATGGTATCAGAGCCAAGTCCTGTTGTAGTTTGACTGCTTGTTTAGCACCCATGATTAAGGGTAACTTGTTAAGAGTCTGTTTGATCCATTTATACACTCCGATATTGTCCAGTCCGATTCGGGCTGAGGGGGCGTGTTAAAGTATTTGTTCCACAACGGAAAACTATAAAATAATAAAACACTATATAAGACTTTGAGCTACTTCTCCTATCAGGATGACCTTTTAGGATGAAATCCTAAATCTTAACATATAGATGACGAGAGAAGAGGAGGCGTAAATAGGGCACATTAGATGTGATAAATGATTGTTAGCCATGGAGCACTCTTAAATTGAAATATGAGTGGGTGGTTAAGAGCATCACTTTGCATAAATAGGACCAAAAATTAAACTATATTTTCATAGGACTAATTATGTGTATCTTGGACAAATATACCCTTCTAGCTATTGAATGTTTTAATTCATAATAAAATAATAAAAATAATAAAAAATCGTAAAAAATACTTAAAAACTAATAAAAATATTTCGATAATAATAATTAATTAATTTATTTTTTTGTCAAAAAAAAAATAAAAAATAAAAATAAATAAAAAACTCAAAAAAAATAAAATAAAATTCACCGCCGCCTCTTCCGCCTCTGCACCACCACCTCCAGTGACCAGGGAAAAAAATGCCAAGTTCATTACGAATGCCATATTTATGGCAGAAAACAATGAAAATGTTGGCATTCGCAAAGAGAAATATGCCACTTTTTTGGCATTTTCAGAAAAAATGGCAGTTTTTAGGAAAAATGGCATTTTTTCACTGGCCAGAGGTGGTGGTGCAGGGAGGTCGTACAGGCGGTGGGAAAGGCATCTATATATTTTTTTTAATTTTTTTATGGAGTTTTACTATTTTTTATTGATTTTTTTTAAAAAAATTATTATTTTTTTTTGAATTTTTTATTTTATAAATATTTTGTAAATTTTTTAATTATTTTTCTACGATTTATTGAATTTTTTAGAATTTATTATGAATTAAACATTTAATTATGGCTTTTGACTGTTTTTAACTCATATTTTAATGAAAGGGTAAGAATGGAAGGTAAAAATAGGTATGTTTCCAAATAGGACTCATATGGTCCTATTTTGGAATAAAAACATAGCAAGTCCTATTTTGCGTTTTTGCTATTGTTTTAGTTCTATTTAAAGTAATTTCTACATCTTTAACGAGTCTCTCTATTCTTAGGAATGCATTGCCACGTAAATAAAAATGGAGGGGAAGTTAAAAAAGAGTCTCCAAGGGAACCATCCATTTGTTGGAAATGCTTAAGACAATAAATTCATAAGTAGCTTTAGTAATTAAAGCTTAGAAGAAAAACATGCATGCGTAGCCTTTTTGAGGTGTCGGTTAATGCTTTAAAAAATAATACGAAGTAAAAGAATCGCCAGGGAGAGTGTAACTCTACCACGCATAGTTTCATTCACATAATTTATAAGCAAGGTAAAACCTCCCAGGCCATGCACGTACAAATGCAACAGTTACCACACGACCCACTCACTCCACAATGCACTAAACCTACATAGAGGTGGTTACATGCATGTAGGGGTGGACTAGCTAGGGTCCGGGCCGGGTCCGGGTCGGGCCTAGGCCCGGGCGGGCCGGCGGTTCAAGAATGGTGGACCCGGGACCGGCCCGGGTAGCCACCGGGTCCGGGCCGGGCCGGGCCGGGCCTTCGCTTTGGTTTTTTTTTTTTTTTTTTGCTTTCCTAATCCCCCCCCCCCTCACCCCCCCCCCCCCCTCCCAAACCCCCCAAACCCATCCTACCCATCAAGGCCAACCCGGGTGGAACCCCAAAAATGAAAAAAAAATAAAAAAAATTCAATTTGGCCCGGGCCCGGGCCCGACCCGGCCGGGCCGATTCACCAAAATTGAGACCCGAGCCCGGACCCGCCCTACCCCCGGGCCTAGGCCCGACCCGGACCCGGACCCGGACCCGAGAACCGGGCCGGTCCCGGTCCCGCACAGTAGCGGGCCGGGCCGGTCCACGGGCCGGGTGGCCCGACCCGAGTCCAAACCTACATGCATGCAAGCCTAACTAATAATATAATCTAATATTAAATGCAAATAACCTAATGTGCAACTTAACTAATTGACCCAACTTAGACTAACACTATTGCAACGGCACACACGCACATCAGTGCCGCTACAACATATGCACGGTGCCACGCGACGCACACTACTTGACACGACTCATCCCGCCGTGCACTCACACTCTAGTAAAATGCATCAATGACTCAAAATAAATTAAATTAAACACGATGAAATAATAAATAACAAGGTTAACTCCAACAGCATTTGCCCTATGCTGACGAGCTGGAACGGGAAAAAACCCGTGCCTTCTACTTCTCTGTCGACTTTCAGCAAGGCTTTCTCACAATCTTACTCAGCAAGTAACTAATTTCTTGCTTCCTTTGCATCTGCTTGAAACTCCTCCCCTTTGAATTATTTTTCCGATCTTGTTCGTTTGATTGAACTATGAGTGCGCAGAAATTAGCACTACAAGAAATTCGGAAATTACTGTCGGATTTTTGTGTCCGATATAAATTTGGACGGTAATTAGTGTCGGATTTAATGTCGGATGGTCATCTGTCAACAATTGGCGTCCGATTAAAGCCGCCACTGTTTAGTGACGGAAAGCGTGACAGATATGTGATAGACACTGATTAGTGGCAGATAGTAGTGTCGGAATTATCCGTCAACAATTAGAGACGGATATATCCGTCACTAAAATCCGTCACTAAATTTGAACTTTATATCCCTACCCATACCACCGACACATCATTCCACCACACACATATCTTATCCTTATCTCTCTATCAAAATAAATCTGGACGGGATTTCAAGGTTAGAGCTCTTACTTTTAATTATTATTTATAATTTTCTTATATTAATTAATTGATTATATATCATATGATGTTATTCTTAAATATTTAAACTAAAAATATGATTTCATATTTTTTTCTTGCATACACAAAAATATTGATTTCTTAGTCCTTTTATTTGAAGAAAGTATCTTTTATTATCCTTTTGTAATAATTAATTAATTATATGTATAAATGAATGATTATTAGTCATCGTTTTGGTTGTTTTAACATAGATTTAGGTTATATTGAAAAAAATTGGCCCATTCTTTAATGATATAAAAACATTCACATTATTTTAGTGTGATGAACTTTAAATTTAATGTTAGTTTAAGATGGTGAGTATGAAAAAACAATCTACTTCTTTGAATATATTGGTAAATGTGTATGGTGTTTGTTTTTAAAAACTATAGATTTGATGTCCTACTTTGAGAAATTAAAGTAATAAATATAAATGAAGTTTTTAATTTTTTGTTGAGAAAGATAAACAAAAGTGGTGGATGTTTCATTTAGTATTTAAATACAATATTTAGGTGTTTGTGAATAAAATGACATAGTTCTTTAAGTATTTAATTAATGTGATTCCGTCAACAAAAGTATTTAATGATATGAATAAATAACATTATTTAGTATGATATCTTGTATAGGTTTCTAAATGAGTCACGATAGATCATGGATGTACAAAAGGCTTGCAAGACGAGGGGTTCTAAATGAAGATTTCAAGGAAGGAGTTACCGAGTTTATTCAAGCGGCGGTAGACTTATATCCAAGCGGTGTTATTGCATGTCCTTGTAGAAAGTGCAAGAATAAAAAGTGGTTGACATGGGAGATTGTTAGACAGCATTTATTTGAAAAAGGCTTTGTGGAAGACTATTATGTATGGGCAGCACACGGAGAGCCAAACAATTCAAATGGTTTAGTTTATTTGGATGAGAGTAGCTCATCTCGTGGTAATACATCTGGAGCGCAATATGATCCGTACAAATCAATGCTTGAAGATGCTATGAGGAATGAACTCCCAATGGGATTTGACCACAATGAAGCTGGAGAGGACGAACCTTGTCCAGTCACAACAGAGATGTACGAAATGTTAGATACGATGAGTCAACAGTGTTTTGATGGCTGCCCAATGACGCAGTTGAGTGCAATGACAGAGATGTTGAATTTAAAGACAGAGATGAGTTTATCAGAAAGTGCAACTGATAGAATTTCTCAATTCATAAACAGGTTTTTCCCATCAAACATTCCAAACAAACCAATTCCTAATTTCAAAAAAATTAAAAGAAAACTATCTATGTTAGGAATGAGCCATCAATCCATTGATTGTTGTCCAAAAGGGTGCATGATATATTGGAGAGCAGATAGTGAGCTACTGGAGTGTAAATTTTGCTCTACTGCAAGGTATGACATTAGCAAGCAGACAAATAAGCGTATTCCTCTTGCAAAAATGGAGTACTTTCCTCTTACTCCTAGATTGCAACGACTTTATGCTTCAGCTACTACAACGGATGATATGAGGTGGCACAAAAATCACCACAGGGAGGAAGGAGTAATGCGTCACCCATCAGATGCAAAGGCGTGGATTCATGTCAACAATCTTTATCCGGAATTTGCTGAAGATCCAAGAAATGTTCGACTTGGTCTATGCACAGATGGGTTTCAGCCTTTCGGTCAATTTGGACAAAAATACTCATGTTGGCCTGTAATCGTGACACCGTATAATTTGCCTCCAGGTATGTGTATGAAACAGCAATTCTTATTTTTAACTATATTAGTTCCAGGACCGAGGAATCCTGCGAACGGAATTGATGTGTACCTGCAACCATTGGTAGAGGAGCTTAAAGAATTGTGGGAGGTTGGTGCCATAACATATGATGCAGTTTCAAAGCAAACTTTTAATATGAGAGCTATTTTGTTATGGACAATTAATGACCTTCCAGCATATGCCATGCTATCGGGATGGAGCACGAAGGGGAAGTTTGCATGTCCTTATTGTACTGAGTTCACTGAAGCATTTTGGCTACCTCATAGTAAGAAGCATAGTTGGTTTGATAACCACAGAAAGTTTCTACCAAGTGACCATCCATTTCGGTTAGATGAAAATAATTTTACTAAAGGTAAATCAATCTTGTATGGTCCTCCGATCCATAGGGACGACTCATACTGCTATGATGAGGTAAATAGTTTCATGTCAGTTACTGAATTGGGTGGTGTAGAGCATAATGCAATTGTTGGAAAAGACATTGGATGGAAGAAGCGTAGCATATTTTGGGATCTCCCATACTGGAAGAATTTGCTCATACGACATAATCTTGATGTCATGCACATAGAGAAGAATTTCTTTGAAAACATCTTCTATACAATTTTGGGAGTACCAGGAAAATCAAAGGACCATACACAAGGGAGAATGGATATGGAGCGTATTTGCCATAGACCGAGCATGGGGAGAGACTCTCGTGGAAAATATCCTAAAGCTCCCTTTACCCTCTCAAATGAACAAAAAAATGTTCTGTGCAGCTGGATTGATTCACTGAAGTTCCCAGATGGTTTTGCATCTCGATTAGGCCGTTGTGTGCAAATGGAAAAACTTAAGTTATTTGGTATGAAGAGCCATGATTGTCATGTCTTCATGCAACGCCTACTTCCAGTTGCTTTAAAAGAGATGTTGCCTGATTGGATATGGGAGGCAATTACGGAGATTAGCTTATTTTTTCGTGAGTTAACAAGAAAGACTATATTGGTGTGTGACATTGAGAAGCTAAAGGAAGATATTCCTGTGATTTTGTGCAAGTTGGAGAAGATTTTTCCACCCTCGTTCTTTGACCCTACAGAACACCTTGTTGTGCACTTACCACATGAGGCTTTGTTCGGCGGGCCTCCACAATATCGATGGATGTATCGTTTTGAAAGGTGGGTGATTAATACTTTTGTATAGTCATGTGACTTTTTTACTCGATATCTTATTTTGTGCAATTGTTGTAGTTTCTTGGGATCGGTGCTGAAGACTAAAATTGGAAATAAAGCTAGGGTTGAAGCATCTATTAGGGAAGGTTATTTACAAAGTGAAATGGGCACATTTGCAAGCTATTATTTTCCAGAGGATGTAGCCACAAAAGCACATCGTATCCCCAGGTTTGACGATGGTTGCATGATTAACACTGATTTTAGTGTTTCAGTTTTTGCACAGAAGGCAAAAACAATTGGTGCAAGCACGAGGCGGTACATGGACCAAAATGAATCTAATGCTGTCCACTCATATGTATTACAAAATTGTCCGGAGATTGACTCATTCAGGGAGTAAGTTGTAGTAGTTACACATTTTTATTGCACTCATATGTGTGCTCTGATTTAATATATTTTCCAATTTCATTACAGAATGTTCATCAACGCAGTAGGACCAACAAGTTCCTATGATATAATGTTACAAACACAATTTCCTCTTTAGTTTTATCATCAAGTGAGATTTTGGAGCTAATTATTCCTTAAATGAGAATATGTTCATGCCTTAAATTTGTTGAATAAAATAATTGATGCAATATGTGTTTATGTTTAGGTGCAAAATGACATGACAGATCATCCACGGTGGGTTCGTGCTTTATCTGGATTTCCTTCTCCCTATGTGACAACCTACCAGGCGCTTAATATAAATGGTTATAAATTCAACACTATTGTGCGATCTCATTGCAAGGTAATTGTCTTCAATTGTGAATGGTTTGAGCCTTCTGATAGAGGTGCAAGAGTTCATCCACGATACAAGTTCGTGGACGTGAACACTCAATTCCGACTACGCACTTTAGATTGCTACATCCTAGCATCCCAGGCCGATCAAGTTGTGTATGTGTCATATCCAAGTACAAGGAAGAGGATCAACAGGTGGCATTATGTAATTCAATGCATGCCACGAGCTTTTGTGGAGAAAGAAGAGGGAGGAGAATCAAGTGATGACGAAGGACACCAGCAAGAATTTCAGGAGAATGAACCAGGCATATCATTCAAAATTGTGTTGGATTTTCCAAGACTACCAAACAACGATGGCTTCTCATTGCATGAAACATATGAAGATGAGCTTACTAATAACGAAGACACTAATGATCATGAACAACATGGCCTATACGGAAATGCTAATGTTGTGTCCAATAGTGATCATATAACCATTATGTCTCTATTTTTATTATTAGCTAGTAATATGACAGATGCACATTGATGATGTGTAATGCAAACATCTTAATGTCACGATACTGATTTTTAGATTATATATGTATGGGGGGGGGGGATTAAAATTAGCAATAAATGTCTAATTTGTGTATTTTATAATTATGAAAGTCTTATCTGATTTGATCTGGTCTGTTTAAGTCTGATCTAGTCTAACATGCTAAAAAAACTTTGTCGGGCATCCAACATCCTAAAATACTGAAAATAATAAAATGTAAAATTTTGGATTTTTTAATCATAAAATTGTTGGTTGAAAATGCTAAAATTGTACGGAGTATATTTTAATATTTTTATTATTAATAATTTTGTCGGGCATGATTTCGTTTCCGCCCATTTCCCTCAATTATTTGGTGAAAATTTTGATCACCCGCTCCTTTCCCCCCTGATTCTCAAACTCCCTCCACTTATTCGTCCCTCTAGTCCCCCACAAAACAATTTCAAGGAACCCTAATCGTGCTAAGAAAAGAAGCGGTTCTAGAGAGATTTCCTACACCCCTTCCAGGTTATCTGTTTCTTACTTCTTCTCACTCTTTTACTCCAGATATTAGCCCTAAATCATCAAGGCCCTAAATTAGGTTCTAATTTTAGCGCAGGGAAGAGGTCTGAGGACGACTTCAAATCAGCTTCGCACCTTTTGTGAAGCTTCAAGTCTGAAGATTCAACTAACCATCTCTCATCAATCAACCCTTTTTAATCTCTCCGCCACCAGCAAACTAGAGGTAATCCTTCATCACTCCACTGAGTTCACTCTATTTGGGTTTCATCCACCGATCTCACAAAACCACACCAAGCATTGAAAGAACATGAAGGTCTGGTTTTGGGAGTCCGTCTGGTTTTGGAACCGAAAGTTCCAGCACATATGAGTTTGTCGGTTTTGTTTTTCAAACATCACATTTTTAATCGGACCGCATGCCTAAAAAATCCGATTGCATGCCTAACTCAAAATTGTTTGCATGATATATTTTTGTAAATTATATTCTCGTGCGAACAAATTCAAAGAGCATTCCATTTTTTGAGTATATGTCCTTATTCAAATGATATCTTCCATTTATTCAACTAACCATCTCTCATCATCAGTTTGATCTTGAAGGATTGTTCTGAATGTGCTACTTTTACTGTTTTGACCCTCCAGCAGGAGGTGTTCTGAATGTGCTACTTTTACTCCAACCACATGCTAAAAAGAATATGCTTTGTTTTTATCATGTTAATTAAACTTACTAAAACCTTACCAAGTTTATTTAAACTAACACTCTTTTTAAAAAAACCTCACTGAAACTTCTTGCTTAATTGCTAATTTATTCATAATATGATCACTGAGACACTGAACAGAGTTTTGAAAAGTCTTTTATGCTTGTTTTATACTTCCTAGTATTAAACTATTAAGGAATTGATTTTTTGTCCAATGCTATTTTTTTGAATCCTTGTTTACTTGGCTGCATTTTTGAATTGTGTACAAACCGTTAATGTTTTTTGGGATGATGATCACTGCATGTTACTTGAATATTACTTGAATATGTCAAGCTAAATAAGTTGCTTGTTAGATGATGTAAGTATATAAAATATAGCTTAAAATGATTGCTGTCCATTAGTAGGAAAAATGAATGTTGTCTGTAGTTTGAACTCTCTACTCCGTTTTTGAACTCCCTACTAAAATAATCTGTTTTAGTTAATGATTTACTTGGATTTTGGTGCTTTAAAGGGTGCTACTTCTGAAGATAAAGGTCTAACATGGTTCCAGCAAAAGGATTTGGGGCTGCCAAGCTAAATAGCAAA